TCCGGCTTCCCTGTACTTTCTGTTCATACAAGGCTAAAGACAAGTCAACTCTCATGTCTCACATTGAGGTTCACTACGCAGGGTTTGCCTACAAGTGTAACCACTGTGGCTTCCTGTCACCCACACAGGAACAAGCACTGCACCACTTTGACTCCATCTGTGAGAGCAAACCCAAGGACAAGACAAGCAGTCCTAGGAAGAAAAAACGCACAAAAGAGGCATCACCAAGCAAGGGACAAAAACGTCTCAACAGCAAGAATAAGCCAGGTTCTCCTGAAAAAGACGCTGACAGCAAGAATAGTAAGAATAAGCCAGTCCCCGCTGAAAAGGACGAAAGCGCACAAGCTCAAGACATGAGTGGAGATGTATCTGATGACTCTGACATCATCACCATCCTGCAAGAGCCTCCCAAGTACTCCTACCAGTGTCCACACTGCCCTTTCACCGTGACTGGCAAGGCTAAACTAAACCTGCACATAGCAGGACACTCGAAGCAGGACGGCCACAAGTGCACCCTGTGTAACTTCCGGGTCACCTCTGAAGCAAAACTGTCCAAGCACCTCAGGGTTCACCAGATGATTGGACGGTTCAAGTGCAAGCACTGTCGCTTCTGGTCCATCTACAAGGACAGGGTGAAACTGCACCTACAGACGGAGTGCAAGCTGAAGGGGACTGGGAAGGGACGTAAGAGTGTTGTAAAGGTAGAACAGAAGGAGGCAGTGAACACGTGGACATCAAGGGAAGATGAGACCAACTCAGATATTGTCTCCATGGTAAAGGATCCAAACCAGTACCCCCACAGGTGCCCCCACTGTCCGTTTTCCTCGGCCTCTCCCACCCAGATAGAGAGCCACATTTCGCAGCACTTTCGTGAGGAGGGTGCTCAGTGTGACGAGTGCACCTTCTGGGCCATCAGTGACGGCATGCTGAGGAAACACAAGCGGGTGCACCAGAAGTTGGGCAAGTACAAGTGCAAGCATTGCGCCTACTGGGTCCCTGGGTACAGGGAGAAAAGTGCTAACCCATCTGGAAAAGTGCAAGCACAACCCAGGAAGGACTGCAACAGAAGAGGAAACTGTGGAGCCTGACAACACAGCAAAGGAGAAAGCAGAAAACAAAGCTAAACGAGAGTCTTACTCGAGGTGGGACGACAGTGAGGATGAAGACATTGTGGTCAAAGTGAAGAAGTCGCTACGTACTGGGCACAAGTGCCCCCATTGCCCCTTTGTTGCCTCCAACATTGGAAAGCTGTCCATCCATCTTCCAAATCATGACAGAACAGACGGTGTCAAGTGTCCCAAGTGTACCTTTAGAGCTGGCAGTGAGCAGCTACTGGGCTTTCACAAGAGGGTGCATCAAAGGGGTGTGAGGACCTATCACTGCACCCACTGTACCTTCTGGTCATGGTACAAGGACAGGGTGCAGAAACACCTGGAGAAAGGCTGTCCACAGAAGAAAGCAGAGAACCCTAGCAGCAACGAGGAAAAGAATTCAGTGAAAAGGCCAAAGAAGAGCCTGACACCAAATCAGCTAAAAAGGAGTCTGACCTTGATGAAGAACTGTCTACATCACGGGTAGCAACAGATGATCATCTTGCAGAGCTTACAGAGGAGACAACCAGCTCCTTGGGGAAAAGGCCTCTGAAGAGATAAAGGGGGAGGAAGAGATGGCTGGAGAAGAATTTACTAGTAGCCCAAACCTGGACGACCACATCATCATGATAGAACAGGAAGCAGAGGCGAGGTACGGCCTGAAGTGTCCCCACTGTCCTCTGACAACGGCCAGCACTGACTGCTACCAGCAGCACCTGGCCAGGCACGAATTAAAGGAGGGCATCAAGTGTGACCAGTGCTCCTTCAGGGCACTCACGACAGGCAGGCTGCAGGTACACAAGAAGGTCCACGCTAAGAAGTACATGTACCAGTGCAAGCACTGCGTTTTCATTGCTGACAACAAGTTTGAAGTTGCGCAGCACCTGGGACATTGTGTGCAGAAAATCAAACGAGATCAAGAGGCCAGAGAAAGGAAGGAGTCGGATGAAGTTGTGGTGAGCAGAGGCATCAGGCAGTACAGTATGAACTGCCCCCACTGCCCCTACACCACCGGTAACTCCAGGTGTATGAAGGCCCACCAGCAGAGGCACATGAACCAGGATGGCATCCAGTGTGAACGCTGCTCCTCAATGCCCTGAGCCCGGGAAAGATGGCCAAACACATGAAGGTGCACCAGACAGGAGAAGGGTTCAAATGCAAGTACTGCATGTTCTTCTCCTCCTACCGCAGCCATGTGCTGCAGCATTTGAGACTCTGCAGGAACAGGGCAAGCCAGACAAAGAAGGAAGCAAAGGGTGGCAAGGAGGCTGAAACACCAGAAGAAAAGGCAGAAGACCTTTCAACCAAGTCAGAATCTCTACATGATGGTGTGGAGAAAGACGATATTGGTCCATGCAGTGAAATAGAGATTCTCAAGCCAGAGAAAACAAGCAACTATAAACACAACTGTTCGTACTGTCCTCACATGGCCTTGTCACCTGCAAGTTTGGAACCGCACATACAACGGCACTTTGTCAACGAGGGTCCCAAGTGCAAGTTCTGCACGTACAGAGCGCTGAGTGCCAGTGGGTTGTACGGCCATGAACGTCTGCACTGGAGAGGCTGCTTCAAGTGTAAATACTGTGCGTACTTGGCACCACACCGCAGGAGGGTCCTGGAGCATCGTGGAAGAATGTCCGGGTCGACGTATTCTGTCTGTGTCCATTCAAGATCCCAAAGAAGAAACCGACAAAAGACATGACTGTTTCAGCCGTAAATACAGACACTGTCAGTCAGACAGAGGAAGGAAAGGGACAGAAGAGGAAGGATCCTGTAGAGGTGTCAGACAGAGATGTTGTGATTGCTTATAGGAAACAGACAGGCAAGCAGCACAAGTGTCCACACTGTCCTTATTCAGCCTCAGGGCCAGCCCTTCTGGAGCCGCACGTGGTGAGGCACTCGGACACAGGGAGTGGCTTCAAGTGTGACCTGTGCAACTACAGGGCAGCAAGCTTCGGATGGCTCAACAACCACAGGAAGGTGCACCAAGACGGGTACTACTATAAGTGCAATTATTGCGCTTATTGGTCCCCTGTCAAGGATGAGGTACTGTCACATGTGGCTAGGAAACACCACATGGGTTCTGAATCTGAAGAAAAGAAAATGAAGGTGGATGGACCATTGTCTGTGGAAGCAGCAGCTGTTGCTAGTCAAGTTCCTAGTAATGCAGGAAGGGCAGCAGCTCCAAGCCTCATGGACACTGTAAAACGGCTGGGACAGGCACTCCGCTCTTCTCCTGTACCCATGGCTTTTGAAGCCCAGACGAAAAATGACGGGAGTGCAGTGTTATTGTCGCAGGACAAGACAGCTCAAGAAGCACTCAAGAGGAAAGAAGGTGGAGACAGAAACCTTGTGATGACCCTGAGGAAGAGAAAGACAGAAAATGGTGAGGCAGTTTGGCAGGCAGAGGAAAACAAAGTTTGCCCTTACAACGAATGCAAGAAGAGGTTTGAGTCAGCCAGTGCCTTTGTAACTCATCTTGCAGAGCACTCAGGGACGGCACAGACACCGAACACAAGTGGGCAGCTACCACAGCCTACCCAGCAGCCCTCTGTACAGTCCGTCCAGCAGCTGTTCACTTCTAAACCTTCCCACGCAGCCACCTTCCCAGCATTCCAAGCAAGTACCTACCCAGCATTCCCAGCAGCCACCTCTTCAGCAGCCATCCGAGCAGCCACCTCCACAGCTACCTTCCCAGCAGCCACCTCCCCAGCTACCTTCCCAGCAGCCACCTTCCCAGCTACCTTCCCAGCAGCCACCTCCCCATCTACCTTCCCAGCAGCCAC